GCGGCGTCGGCGGCCAGGGACGTCCAGCTGAGGATCACGGCCAGCAGCCCACAGCACAGCAGCCTGAGAGAGAGGCAGAGCGGTGGGATCCAGGCGAAGGCTGGCAGGCAGGGGACCCCATGATGGCTGTCACCCCACAATCTCAGCGCCCTTCCTCTTGGCATGAACTTGCCCTCCCTGACCCCTGAGTCTTGGTCCCTGCCCTCACATTGGCCCTGCTGACTGCTGGGACAGAAGAAGGACCCAATGCTGGGACATAGGTCGCTGTGCCGGAGGCAGCTGAGGGGGTGCTGGCTAAGGAGGGGGTGCTGGTTAGAGCCGGTGGGAGGCTAATGCCTGGGCAGGCCCAGGACTGGGGACACAGAGAGGAAAGCCCAGCCCTTGCTTGGGGTCCAGATAACGGGGTGGTGGCTGCTGCCCCCTCTTGGCTGGGCGCTGAGCAGGGGCGGAAGGCGGCTGCAGGCTGTGGCTCCCACCACCTCCCTTGAGCCTGACTGGGTCCCCCTCTCTCTGCTGGTGGCCCCATCACCCCACCTGCTTGCCCAGATCTTTGTTCCAGGCCCGCAGGCCGGGCTACTCACAAGGCCAGGAGACACCTGGAGCGCTTGGCTAGTCCCACGCAGGCGATGAGGCAGATGGCCAAGTCCAGGATGAAGAGCAGGAGGTAGGAAAGCCACCTGGGTGGGGGCGAGGACGGTCAGGGGGAGCAGGGCACAACTCCCCACCCAGGGGGCCTGACCAGCAGCCCCAGGCCCCCTGACCCTTCGTTGTACCACTGCCCAGGGCGGGGGGATGGGACCCAGGAGGGCCTTCTCCTAGGGCCCACAAGGGAGGTCTCCTGCTCATTTTTTTTCTCGACGTCGGAGCCAAATAAATTCAGTGACCCCTCCTCTCCAGCACTGGCTTCCTGCTTCACTGATACACAGAGAGGGTGAGAGGTCTGGAGTGTGGGCAGGAAGTGGATGGAGCTGGGAGACAGTGACAAAAGGGTTCCGACGGGGAGGGAGCTCGCTGGAGGCCTGGCAGCCCAGTGTGGTTCTTTCTGCCGTTGTGAATGGAGGCCCCCAAAGCGCCGGATCAAAACACCCGCTGCACGGAGTGGGGCAGACCTGCGGGTGCCTTTGGTGCCCAGAAATGGAGGTGGGGGCTCTGAGGAGACTGCAGGGCCCACCCTCCCCTGGGATGAGGCCATCGAGGAGCCAGTTTTCTCAGAATCAGAGTCAGAGCTGGAAGGACCAGGGGACCATCTGGTGTCAGGATCCCCATTCACAGGTTGGGAAACCGAGGCCGGAAGCAGGGGAGCCTGGCCCAGGAATTCCCCAACTCTCCAGCCTTCCTGCAAGAGACAAGGCCATGTCCGGATGGCGTGGCTCAGTGGTTGAGCATCGGCCCATGAACCAGGAGGTCATGGTTCGATTCCCGGTCAGGGCACATGCCCGGGATGCAGGCTTGATCCTCAGTAGGGGCATGCAGGAGGCAGCCAATCAATGCTTCTCTCATCATTGATGTTTCTATCCCTTTCTCCCTCTCCCTTCTTCTCTCAGAAATCCATATATATATATATGTA